AAAAGCTCAAGGCAAAGGTATAACTTGTAGGAGCTATTTTATTTTGGTGATCAAGACACTTAGAGAGTGTGATCACATTTAGGTTTGATAGCCATACTATTAAGAGGGGTGAAACTCGTATCGGAATGCGGTTATCAAAGTGCCACTAGATGCTCTAACTCATTGCATATGCATTTAGGATCTAGTGGAGTGCTAACACCCTTGATAATATTTGTGTAAATATGCTACCACATGTGCACAAGGTGTTTGTAGGGATTCGGCGCTTTCGGGAAAATGAAATGTCTATTTTCTATTGCGCCAGATGCAAATTCTTGGTGGTTGGCACACTTGAGCAAGGGTGAAGAAGTAAGAGTTGAAATGGAGTTGATCGAAATGATGCTGGCGTCGGTCTACTAACCGGACGCTGGGTCACTCAACGACCGGACGCTGAAAGGCTGCGTCCGGTCGAGCTGTCAGACGGCACAGTGGCCAGGGTTGAGCACCGGACGCTGGCTGCATCCGGTCAAGGTGGACCGGACGCGTCCGATCGAAAAAACATGCCTCGGGGAGCTTACTGGAAACGACCGGACGCTGGGGCTTCAGCGTCCGGTCAGTTTTACAGGAGCGTCCGGTCAGCTTCGCGACCGTTGAAATCTGACGAACAGCATTTGAAGCAGGGGACACGTGGCGTGAATCACGTGACCGGACGCTGAGGGCCAGCGTCTGGTCGATCGGACCGGAGCGTCCGGTCACCCCGCGTTGTGCCCAGTGAAGGGGTACAACGGCTCTATTTCACTGGGGCTCTATTTATAGCCCCATGGCCGGCTCAAGCTAAGACTCTTGCACATTTTCATTGACATAGCAACCTTGTGAGCCTAGCTAAAGGACTCCCACTCATCTACATCATTGACTCATCATCATAGTGAGATTGGGAGTGATCCAAGTGCATTGCTTGAGTGATTGCATCTAGAGGCACTTAGTGATCATGTTTCGCTGTAGATTTCACTTGTTACTCTTGGTGGTTGCCGCCACCTAGACGGCTTGGAGCAGCAAGGATCGTTGAGTGGAGGAGGTGATTGTCTCCGACTCCGATCGTGGTGATTGTGAGGGGTTCTTGACCTTTCTCCGGCGGAGCGCCAAAAGGTACTCTAGTAAATTGCTTGTGGCTTGTGTGATCCTTATCTTGTGTTGGTTGTGCGGCACCCTATTGAGGGTTTGGCGAGTGATGCCAATCAGCGCGTGAACCTCCAAGTGAGTGAATCGCCACAACGAGGACTAGCTTGCCGGCAAGCAAGTGAACCTCGGTAAAAATCATTGTGTTCATCATTTGACTCCGAGGTGATTGGTCTACATTGGTATTCATTATTGTGATTGATTGGTTCCTACCACTACACGGCGGTATAACTCTCTTGCTCACTCTTACATTACCGCAAACTATTTATCAAGCTCTTTAGTGTAGCTAGTTGTGAGAGCTTGTTTGTTTGATTAGTGTTGCTCTTTAGTTAGTCTTTGAGAGCACACTAATTTAGCTAAGTGTCATAGCTATTGTGTGGACATACACTATTCAAAATAGAATTGAGGTAGGTGGCTTGCATTTTAGTAGGCTAGCGCAACACTCGCTTCGCCGCAAAATTGTTAACACATGTTGTTAAGTGTTGTTGTAGAATTTTATTAGGCTATTCACCCCCCTCTAGCCATTAGGACCTTTCAACCGCACAAGCTTCTTATGGGCTTCGACAGAGACCACCACCAAGCCATCTAGGAGGTGGCAACCTCCAAGAGTAACAAGCACCACCGGCTTGCAACTCAATCACCTAGTGCCACTCGATGCAACCTCATGATGCAATCGCACTAGAATCTCTCTCTCACACAATCGAATGATCACTATCAAGCATATGTGAGATGGAAGGCTCCTAAGCACTCACAAGCATGGACACAAAGTCCCCCGTGGTGCTCAACACAAGCCATGGCCGAGACCACCTTCTATTTATAGCCCCATGGGCTAAACTAGCCGTTACCCCTTCACTGGGCAAATTTTGGGAGGACCGGATGCTCTGGTCAGATAGACCAGACGCACCCTGCTAGCGTCCGGTCACTCTACGCCGTCCACGTGTCGCTCTGCGTTCAAACGAAGCCGTCCGATCTCAACGGTTAAGTTGCGACCGGACGTTGCACAGTGAATGACCGGACATTGCTGCGCCTAAGTCCGGTCGTTTCCAGAGAGATCCTCGAGCCTCTGTTTTGCGACCGGACACGTCTGGTCCACCATGACCGGACGCAAACCAGCGTCCGATCAGTTCCGTGCCCGCACGCCTAACTCCAACGCCGCCTACATCACCATACATCAGCACTAACCGGACGCAGACCCTGAGCGTTTGGTCACACTTCGCACCAGTGTCCAGTCACAAGACCGAGACTACGCGCTCACTACTGCCACTGACCGAACGTAGGACCCCAGTGTCCGGTCACTGCGTGACCAACGTCCGGTGCACACTGTGAAACCCTATCTTTTCTATATATGGCACCGGTGACACCGTCGAACTGTCCGCACTCTACGGGCGGACACTCCGCCGGTGGAGTTTCGAACCTTTCTCGCCTCTGTTCCATCGCCGAGTTGATCCACATCAACTCCAACTTCATCTCCTTTATAAATGTGCCAACACCACTAAGTGTATGTGTGTTAGCATTTTCACAATCATTTTCCAAAGGACTAGCCACTCAACTTGCCACGCCACTCAATCCTAGCGACGATTCAAAGTTAGATCACTCGAGTGGCACTAAATGCAACAGTGTTGTGGGCGCCTACCATGACCGGACGCAGACCATGTGCATCTGACATTCAACAGTGTTGTGGGTGCCTACCATCATCATGTACCCACCGGCGTGGGCAACAAGGCTTAGTAGCAAACATGCTCCTTCCCTCTCACTTGTAAAGCTATCCCCTTCATCTATAAAAGGGGATGCACTCTCTCCCAACAGATAGGTTCAAAATCCATTCAAGTCAATTTAGATTCATTAGATCGATCAAGTTCACTAGCACACAACCACAGAACCACTAGGTTTGAACCACGAGCACATGCTCGAACACTTAGTTCATAGCGGGGCTCCCATCACTCTCGGCCCTTCCGGCAGGAGTCCGACCGGACCTCTTGTACCCTCATCTTTCTCCTTCTTGTTTGTAACCCAACTGTAAACTTCGAGCACCTGGGCTCAGGAATAAAGTCACCGACCGACTCAAACTGGACGTAGGGCACGTTGCTTGAACCAGTATAAACCATATGCCATTGAGTGCTAGGCCACCTCCGATCACAACGTATGACAAAACTATAAATATTTACGTGTTAGTCATTTTCTGCACCGACAAGGCTACTACAACAGAGCTCGTGGAACCCTAGCCATCGCCGCGTCCCACAGATCCAAGGAGGAGGAGGAGGAGTGCTCAAATCCAGAGGAGAAGGAGAAGGGCTCAGATCCAAAGAAGAACCGACCTACCTCGTCGGAGCCGCCGTCGTCGTCTTCGTCTCCGGTGGGAGGAGCGGAAGCCATGTCTCTGGGGGTGCGGGGTACCAATGGAGGTCACGGGAGGGGAGGAGGGAGGGAGCGCCGGCGGACGAGCGGGGCGGCAGCGAACTAGGCGCGGCGTCCGTCCCGGCGGGCGGGGCGGCAGTAGAATGGAGAGGAACGGCTGCGAGATTGAACGAGGAGAGGATAAGGATGAGTACGGGAGACATCATCTGGGAGACGGCGTGCGGCAGGGGCGGGTCAGTGCGGCACGGTTTTTGATGCATCCGTTTCCGTCTGGACGACCGTCATATATGATTGTGGTTTCATTTTTCTTGTGTTGTGTCCACGGCTACATGCCCGCACAAACGGTCAACAACCTGTTCGTTTGGCTGTGACTTGTCGTAAACGATAGTAAATTTTCAGTCGAAATAGTATTTTTCTCTCACACAGATCAGCCAGCAGTATTTTTTCACGAACCAGCAATGATACGAACCAGCCAACCAAACAGGCTGCAAATCTGGGTGGTGGGTCTTTCTATTAGGCCCAGCAGTATAGCTGTAAGTAATCATTAATTGATCGATTATTATTAAAGAAGGAACCCACAGCCTGAGACCACCTCGAGCGATCGTTTCGGTCGTCTGTGATCTTGGGCTACGCCCCTTTTTCAACGACCGTGACCTTAAAAATAAGATCCATTCGTTGTTTACACAGTGCTATGGATAAAAGATTCAATATCTAGTTTTAGTTTTCTTCAACAACATAATTTAAAAAACAATTCTTTTTATAAATGAGCCTCCAAGAGAGAGGATACTCAGATTTAGGTTTTGTCTTTCCTGACAACTAAAATTGATCTTTTATATAGGTACTATGTTAAAGGTTATAGATATCCTGCTGGAGATCTATTTTGGATTTAGGTACCCAATAAATCCCCTGTTGAGACAACCTAAGTGAGTGAGTGAATAAAGTAGAGCTCCCTCATTTCCCCTCAAAAACAAAATGGAGCCCCCTCGTAAACTCTAACCGATCTCTTATATTTGCCTCCCACTCTCACGTACCTCTATTTCATTCAGATCTTATAACTAGTATTTTATGCTTCATGTGGGATAACAGAAGAAGACACATCCAAATCAATCTCACTGCTGCCAAAAATTTCAGTCTTAGCTGTCCATTTTCAAATTTTCATCTTCCTACCTAAATAAACAAACAAAAAAAAAAACACAAGTTGAATGAATTTTATTCTGAACCTTTACAACAGCAAACAATGTATTTGTCTGCACCACAAGATTACATGTCCTCTCCCGCAAATCCTCGTCTGGTATAACCCACGACGATTGCCCGCAATGCATCGTATCAAAGCTCAAATTGAATGTTCCGAGGCGCTGCTTCACCAGGCCCCTTGCAATTTTGGTGTACTCCTGCAATACGCTTATCATATGCCCACCGCCGTCGGCGAGCCGGCGTTAGTCGATTTCATCCACGACGGGACCGGGGCTCCGCTGCCGCCTCTCCGCCCCTAGATGGCGAGACCGAGGCCTCGAATCCGCGCCGTACCGCGAGGCCCGGTGCTCCTCTTCCTCCTCGTCCCGCTCATCTACTCCGGTACGGACCTCTCCCTTCTCCCCTCCGATTCCCCCTCAGAATAATGAGGACGCCCGCCCCCTGATGATCCGATCCCGCGCTAGTAGTGTCCAGGCTGCACCCCTGGGCGCCAGCGGAGAAGGGCGTGTGCCTGCCACCCCCAACCGCGCTGAAGCGGCCTGACCGTCTCGTGCTCGGCCCCGCCGCCGGACAAGGCCACCCCGACCGCCTCCAGTGCCAAGGTTAATCCTCTCGCTTCGGCAAGCTCCATTCGTGCTGAATTTAGTGGTTTTTGTGGAGGCTGCTGCTTAGCTCTTAGTTTGAGACATCTAGGGCTGTCTGGACACAGAGGATTGCTTTTAAAATTGAGCAACCATTACCAGTACCAATGCCATTGTGGCAGTGGATTTTTTTTTGTGTTGAGGGTACAAATTAACGTTCGATAGTCCATGTCCAGCTAAAATGTCAAGAGTTAGCTCGCTTATGCATCATGCACTGGAAACATTTTATTATGCTATCACAGGGTAATGTTTTTCTTTTCGAGAAAAAAATGATAGGGATACGATTGTATGCTCATTCTGCATTGTGGCTCTGCCACTGTAATATTAGATTTTGTTGAGCTGGATTTACAGCCTAACAAACTGGAAGCTTTTGTTTTTCTGTGACAAGCATGAGGCAAAATCAGGATAAGAATGTTGCTTTTTGCAAAATCAGTTCATCAGGGTCAGTAAAGTAATTTCTCTAATGCATTGCTTTGAACAGCATGTTTCAGATAATAAATCTAGAATCTTGATGTTCCACTTACATCTTAAACATGATATTCTGTAATCTTAACTTAATAGTGGTAGATTGCATTCTGTCTTTCTCAAATCAGTACCTCCATGCTGTTGGCACAACGTAACCTGGTGACTGAGTTCATATGACTGATGATGTTTCTCTCACTTTGCTCAGGACTTAGAGCTCTGAACAAGATTGACCTATCAAGTGAAGAGAACTATTCTGGAGAACACATTTCTTTTGTTACTGTATTCACAACCTACAATTCTGTCTCAGCTGGAGATGGCAAAATTCCATCTGATTCTGTAACTGTTGGAAACCATTCTTATAGCAAAATAGAAAGATCCATGGCCATTCTGAACACTTTCATCAGTTTCATAAGGGTACCTCTTCCTTTCTCTAAGTTTGTGTGAATTTTGTTTACAGGTGGCAAGTTTAACACTAACACTTTGGCGTGGCTCGAATAATTTTCTCTCTTGTGAATAATAGATTGCAAGACACCCCATATATTTGAATTAGAGTTGAATCTCTAGTTCCATCCCTATGTTTATGATAGCATATCCAGCATTTCAACTAAGATGTTCCAAGTCCTGCATTATTGTATGTTGTGAGTGATTGCTATCAAACACTAATGTTTATTAGAGTTACTAAACAAGTAAACAATTGGTACTTTCTTCCTGTTGTTGAGATTGTTATCCCGTGTGGTAGGAAAACATGAAAGTAATGCAATGAATGTGAATACTAACATCACTATCTTAACCCTTTCTAGAAATGACGTATGAGTTCATGGTATTGTTACCTATGCCCCATAACAATTCAAATATCCCTTTTGCATCTTATCTGAAACTTAAAATGTGCAGTGTGCTACATTAATTCCAACAACAATTGTGATGTGAGTTATTTAACACCTGATCCTGTCTGTAAAGCCCTGCAGGTATCAATGCCAAGAAGCAACGTGATCATATTGACTGATCCTGGTTCAAAAATTTCAGTAAATCAAGGGAGTGCTACACTATTGCCTATTGAAGGAAACTATTCTCGAGGAAATTTGATGCTTCAAAGAATAAAGACATACATTGTAAGTCTATCACTCTATCAGCTTCATTTAGATCATTAAATTTTCTGCATATGCTTTCTCAAAATTACTTCTTATGTGATCCACGTATTACTGCTATCGTCATATCTTTATGCATTATTTTCAACTGTAAGAATTATATTTATGTATCTTATCCTCACATTCAGGCATTTCTGGAGCAAAAGCTTGTGGAATTTGATATAATGGAGGGGTTGAATCATTTTGTTTTGACTGATTCCGATATAGCAGTGGTTGATGATCTTGGACATATATTCAAAAAATATCCCCATTGCCATCTGGCTCTTACTTTTCGTAATAACAAAGGGCAACCTTTGAACTCTGGGTTTGTTGCGGTAAGAGGAACCAGGGATGGCATCACTAAGTAAGTTGACAGCAATTGAATAGATCGTATTATAGAAAGCCAGCAAACTTCAAATTAAACTCTCTTTTTTCAGAGCTGTGGAATTCTTGAAACAAGTCCTTGAAGCTTACAGCTTAAGATATATTAAGGCTTCCCATATGCTTGGTGACCAATTAGCACTGGCATGGGTTGTCAAGTCTCATCGACCATCGGCTTTTGGAAAATTTTCTAAGCATGAGGCATTTACTGGTGAAGTTAATGGAGCATCTGTTCTCTTCTTGCCTTGTGCTGTTTATAATTGGACCCCGCCTGAGGGTGCTGGACAGTTTCATGGTATACCCTTGGATGTTAAGGTATAACACTTTTCTTGCTTGTAAGGGACTTAATATGTCAAAGTTTCTCTTTTTCTTCATGTAAATATTTTGGCCTAACATTAATAAAAAATAGTTTCTGCGCAGGCTCCTTGTTACACATGAATACATGATGCTAAAGTGCTCATATAGATGAGAAAACTAGAAAGATTGGTTCACCGTTACTTTTTAACGCATATATGACATTTATAGTTCAATATTAAATTTCTGAGTACTGTGATAATACTGTGCATTGTGGATTCATGATGTTTTCTTTTGTTATAAGCTATGCTCCAATTTATGACCACTTTGTCAGCATGCGAATATGGGTCGTTCTTCCAGGATTATACTAATCCAATAAATGTGCATGTTGTGTAACATTGTTGTATATGCTTTCTATTTATTGTAACATCCAGAATAAATCTTGTATTGTTTTGAGGTTGTCCATTTCAAAGGTTCAAGAAAGCGTTTGATGCTCGAGGGATGGAATTTCTACAACAAAACCTCTAAGCTGTCTGATATGCTATGCATAATCTTGAGAAGTGGCCGGACGAAATATGACTTCTGAACTTTTGGTTAAAAACTGACACATGGTATCCTCCCTCACTCTCACCCTCATGATCTTTATTCTTTACCGAACTAACCTGATTATTAGACATTTAGACTTTGTCCTTTGGTATGAAGTGTTCTGTTAACAAGTTTATCTTTTCTTTACAGTTGATCCTACTAAAAGCTGTTGTGTGCTCCTCAACTAATACAAAAGTTGCTGACCATGAGATGTCGTCGCAAGAATTGAGAATTCGGATCAGCGTAAAATGGATGAGCATCTTTAAGCATGTAACAAGAATATGTTAAGCTACTTGTAGGATGCAGAAGGGCGGACCTGGTGCAAGCGGTAGAGTCTTACCGCCTGTGACCGGAAGGTCCCGGGTTCAAGTCGCGGCCTTCTCACATTGCACAGGTGAGGGTAAGGCTTGCCACTGACACCCTTCCCCAGACCCCGCACAGAGCGGGAGCTCTCTGCACTGGGTACGCCCTTTTACTTGCAGGATGCAGAGATGTGAGATTGGTGTGAAACTGTTTGATAGCTCATTAGAAGTTACAACCCATACAAGGAGAACAACAAAGGGTGACCATATAGGGATTCACCATTTGTTCTTTTGGTTTATCCCTTCCTGTTGAATATGTTATTTGGTTCCCCATCACTGTACACTATATCTAGATGGTAGTAAAGGCAATTTCGCCATCAGATATTATTACTGGCGCTGTTTCAAGGTGCCACCGGCAAAATTTGTGCTGTTTGCGCTTTGCAGATGCTTTATGCCGTCACTGCATTTTTCACCTGTTCCGTAGTGTTAGTACCCCCAAGTTTTTGCAACAATGTTGTTGTGAACTGTCCTCGTGCTGTTCGGTTGATGGTTTCTGCGGTTGATAAGCCGGCGGAAGCTGATTTGTTGTGAGAGAAAAACATGGTTCTATGGTTGATAAGCTAGACTGATAAGTTCAAGCGATCTGTCACAATGGCTGGTCGGTCGAGACGAGGTTCTTCACTAGCCGCGTCGAGACTCGAGGAGAAGGCAGACGAGGTTCTTCACTAGCCGCGGTGGGGAGAAGGCGGCGATGATGGCATAGCTCCTGGCCACCTCCAATGGCCGGAGGCGGTGCTCGGGGACATCCCCTCCGGCAGCAACGAGTTCGGGTTCCTGGATGTCTCGCCCGTGTCATTCTCGGCCATGTTCTAGGAGCAGCACGTAGGGGTGGACATGGAGGCGGCGAAGTGCCCGGCACTGCTGCGCTGGGTGAAAAGGTGCACCGAGAGGGAAGCATGCAGGACATGTGCGCCATAAGGATGCACTAGCGTCTCGACGTCCGGCCTCAGCAGCGTGTCCTGACGCAGCTCCTCACCCGTACGATACGATCCACAGGAGCCCGTCCAATACGAGCGACTCACCCTATCCTTCCCACAGCGTGCCCGTCCACAAGCACAGCGCGTGTCGGCCCCCAGCTCGCCCCGTCCGTGCACGCCCTATCTCTCGGCCCCAGTGCGCCTATTCCGCAACCCCCTCGGCTCGCCGCGGCCCATCCCCTGGCGCTTGGGGCGTGCCCCATGACTCTATGGACGTATTTCTGAAACATGAAACACTTGCGACATGAGAACACTTGAATGCAAATATGTTTGAAGAAGATGAAACATTTGGAACATGCACATGCAACATATGTATGAAACATATGCAACATCTAGATTAAACACTTGCAACTTGGAACATAAAAACACTTACTGCAAAATTTGGAACATACTATTGCAGCATATGTGTGAAACATATGCAACATTCAGATCAGAATGCTTGCAACATACGTCTGGAACAGATAAAACATTTTAAACAAACGCAACATGCCTCTGAAACACTTGCAACATATGCAACATGTGCAAACATCCCCGATTTACTTTTGCAACATTCATATAAAACAATTGCAACATACATCTGAAACGTTTGAAACACTTGAAATATGCATTTGCAATATAGATGAGGGGAGGCCTGGGTCGGTCTATTCCGGCCGTCGAGGTGGGCGGCGAGCAGCGGTGCGTGACCACCGCCAGCATCTGGCCGCGCTCGTGGGATCCCTAGGCTCGGCAAGAGGCAGCCCAAGGCTCCCTAGCACGTGTGCCCAGCGGCCATCAGCAGCGGCGTCGGTGGCGAGGCACCGCGGCGGCGTTGGGGATGGGAAAGAGGACGGGGAGGCACTCTGCTGTTAGCGGATGCGAGATAGAAAGTGAGATATGGGTAGAGCAGGGGCGCGATGAGGGATGGCAGCGGCGGGTGGGCCGCGCGACGCGGAGGTCAAATCCCCGCGGACCGGGAGCGCTACGAGCAAGCGAGCAGCGGGAGCGAGCAGCATGGACGAAAAGCGGCGAGACGAAGTGTGGTGCGCGACGTCCAGACGAACGGACGCCCGCGTGGAGCATTATCGGCGCCACAAACAAAGAGTTCTATCACATTCCGTGAACAACTTAAAGCCTAGCTGCAAACGATCCAAAAGTTCAAGATGCTGCATCCACTCCTTACAACTGACCTCAGTTTTAGTTGAAGCATGCAGATGTCCGGACTCGAATTTGAATTACCATGATATTAATTTTTCCCTGTCGCACCCATGTTCGTTCGTCTTTTCAGTCATACTTTTTCAACGAATGAACATTATTTTTCTCTCACAATAAATCAGTCAATGGTACTTTTCAGCTTGTCTTTTCAGCCAAGCGAACGAGCAATCAAGCATGATGCTAGTAATAAACTTTAAAAACACAGGAGGCTGTTCAGATTAGAACTTGCATGAGGCCCTAAGTAGGCCCATTAACCATCCGAATTAGTAACGGATCCATCGGCGCTCACGAGTCACGATCCATAATAAGAACCGCAGCCAGGCAGACTGCGAGGGAGGAACACGACGAGTCGAAGACACTGATCATCGGAGTCGGAGGCGGCGGATCACCGATCATGGGGACAGATCACGGCGACGTCGATCCCGGAGCCGGAGCCGGAGACGAAGCGGCTGATCCTGACCGCATCAGCGACCTCCCCGACCACGTCCTCCACGACATCCTGATCCACCTCCCGGGCACCGCCGACGCGGCGCGCACGAGCATGCTCTCCCGCCGCTGGCGCCGCGTCTGGGCTCAAGCCCCCGTGATCTCCCTCGACTACAGGTGCGAGTTCGAGCCGGAGTCCCCGGGTGGCCGCGTGCCCGACCGTGTCGACGCCGCCCTGGCCGCGCACGCCGCCGGGACGACCGGGACCGGGGCGACGACGTCGACGGTCAGCCTCAGCCGCCTCGAGATCACCCTGCCGTTCGAAAGCTCGACCCACCTGCGCACGGACCGCATCGCTGCGTGGCTGCACGTCGCCGCGCAGCGCCTTGCGGGGGAGCTCCGGATCACGCTGCCGTTCTGCCTCCGCAGCAGCGCCAAGGACGACGGCGACGGCGACGGCGAGGTCCTTCTTCCCTTTGCAAGAGGGCCACGTCCATCAGCCTCGACCTGAGCGATCGCACCCTGCGGTTCGCGCTGCCCCCCGCCGGCGGCGTGTTCAAGGCGCTGGCCACGCTGACGATACGGTTTGCCTGCCTGCACGGCCGCGAGCTGGAAGCCGCCGTGTCGTCGTCTCGCTGCCCGTGCCTCAAGAAGCTCGTGATCGAGTGGATCATGCTGCAGCAGGACGACGGCGACGGCGACGGCGACGGAGCTTGCGACCTATCCATACGCTCCGACTCACTGGAGTGGCTCGAGATCTCCTACGCCGTGCGACTCAACGGCCGGCTCCGTGTCCACGCCCCAAATCTCGAGACGTTTCATCCGTGCATCAGGTGTGACTTGTGCGTGCTTGCCCCGAAGCTCTCGGAGGTGCGCTGGAGCAGCGGCCATGCCTATGACTCCAGCCGCCATCATCTCGCACGCGCCGGCCACCAACTCCGGCGCCTAGAGGTAGAAGCCGATTCTTCTGGCTTCGCTTTGATGCGGCAGTTCAACACGGTTGACGAGCTGGACCTCACTGTAAACCTTACGCGGGTATGGCCTTACACATTTTTTAATTTTTGTATTACTATTACTACTAGTATGAAATTCATTTTGAAGCCTTTTAGAGTGTCATGACATACAAAACTACCATATAATGAATGTAGAGTGTCATGTAGCGGTGGCGTGGAAAAGATAAAGAGTGGTTAAGTCTATTGGAGCTTTAATTTCTGGTTTATTTTCTAATTTTTGTAATAAAAGGCCACGTATTGAACCCTCTGTAGATGCTCTCTAAGACTGGCCACAGCGTTGCCGGTGCTGAAAAATCATCTCCGTACAACAGCTCATATCGATGCTAGAAAACACAAATGGATACAGTGCGAGCATCGATGCTTCACTGTATATAGGACCCAAGTGTTTAGAGTTGTCAGCGTGCTGCTCAGTGTGTGGAAGAGGAAGAGTGTGCTGGTTGAAACGAACGGCCGGTGCAAAAATATTTTTTTTTTATCTTCTCAGCATCGAGAAACCAACATGACCCGATGCCAAGATTTTTTGAAACTGGGCACCGGCCACAGCGTTAAGCACCGGTGCTTGAACGCTCTCTCTCCTAACTTGGCACCGGCAAAAGCCCACATTGTGGCCAGTCTAAGAGGTTAAAAAATTGATAAATTATAAAACTTTCAAGCAAAAAAATCTAGTCATTGAGTTTTATAGGGTTAGAAAGATATAATATTATAGGCGTGTTTGGATGAGGAACCTACAAGAAGCTAGGCCAACCTTTAGTTGTTGACCGTGATCATAAGGATCGTTTGTATCTTGGCCCTGACTTCGCTTGGCCCGTTTCTCGTGCCCACAAGTGCTTCCCTTCCTTTCTCACGTCTTATTTCGTGTCTTTGCAGGGCGTAGAAGAATACGAGAGATTTCTGAAATGCACGGGTACACTTGCCAGGTGTAAGGTTTTGATGGTAAAATTTGTGGAGATACAGCATGGCTTTCAGCCAGCTATGCTACATCTTCTCCGAAAATGTGCTGGCATACGAAGGCTTGTGGTGCAGCTGAGTGACAGTATGGTACGTACATGCATTCCAATAAAAAAAGTCTCTCCTTTTGTAGCTTCTTAAGATTGTAAGTCATTCTAGCTTCTTAAGATTCACAGTAAAAGCTATGTGTCTAAAAGTTAAAACAACTTACCCTTAAGAATGGAGGGAGTATAAAATATGGTTTGCTCAGAGGTAGCTACCAATATTTACTTCAAGTTAGTAGTCTTTTCAAAATTTTAAAATACATTTTAATTCCTTTCCTCAGGATGGCTACCCCTACCCGTGCAAGGTGTCATCGAGATGTCTATATAGCCGACTAGAGAACTGCAAGGCACATAATGTTATGTTGGATTCACTTGAAGTTGTAATAACCGACAATGGATATGTTGACCATAAAGCTGAGGCTATTGTGCCGATGCAGCACAAGATTTCACAAAAAGGTGGCCGTTACCGTCTTGCATAGTGGACAAACAGACGATCTCCGATCTCCGCAACAAGATTTTTAGTATTTGTCCTCTAAACAACTAGGTCTGTTCGGCTGGTATTAAAGCCGGCTGATAAATCGGTTGAACCTGTTTTGTTGTGAGAAAAAAAAACACTCTAGATTCCATTTGATAAGCCACAAGCGAACATGCAACTAAAATCACCGTACGGACTGTCCACGTGAGCTGACTTTATGTTTTTACCAAGCTGTGGTCCCGTGAATCCGATTTATTTGCCTAATCGGAAGCAATAAACTTTTTTTATTAGAACACGATGTGCTTCTGAACCCATAATAAGTATATACTAGAAACTGTGGCGCGGACGTTGCCGCGCCAACCTAAGATGACCTGTGTATTTTGGTTGTTATGTATGTATCATCTGCAATTGGAAGTTAATGTCGTCTGTTTCGTCCATGTCTTTGGTGTTCGAATTTTTGTCATTGAAATCTTATAGGTATGTATCACCTACAATTGGAAGTTAAAGCTTTGATGAATACACTGCCGCGCCATCCTTGGAGTTCACCGGTGTAGTTTTTTTTTATACCATTATTATTGCAAAAGGTTAAGCTACGAGATTGCCCATCAGTAATATATGGAGTCATGGGTGATGTTTACAGCAATAGCACAATCAAGAGTTAAAATATTTCCTCAACTTGATCCAAGTGTGTCGTACCTAAATTTGCATGCACATATATACGTTGATATGTAGCAAATCTCATCATATAAAAATTTGAGGTGATCATATAAATGTGCCAAGTAGCAAATCTATCTATGGGATACAATTCAATATAGCAATGCATCAATACTTTTAAGTGCTAATGTCCATATAAAAGTTTTGTAACTTCATAGTTTTATAGGAGAACAATATTTTCTGAAACTAAGCATATCTCACAGATATTATCATAAAAGCTGAGGCCATGCATAAGTATGCATCGCTAAGTTTGTTTCAGTGACCCAGTACAAAAATGTCTTGTATAACCTTTAATGAATGATGAGATCCATAGTATACAGTAGCCTGGAAAGAGGGAAAACAAAAACAAAATGATACTATTTAAATGTACACTGATGAAAGGATAATTATGAATTGGAGAAAATATTTGTGCTCTGCCCAGAAATTTAATTTAAGTGGCTGAATAATGATTATAAATGCAATTTAGAAACCAAAATGATTAAAGAAATAGAGTAAGATCGTGTGTGCTCCTTCGCTTCAACACATTTCTGTTTTACAAAGAGAACATGCTTTCTCCCCCATCTATCTGACAAAGGTGGCTCTGGAATTTTTATTTATCTTAATACTAGACACTTATTAAAGGAACATAGATAAGGACAAAACTCTCCTCCAATATCAAACTCTAGTATCAATGGCAAAATCTGCCCCAAGTATAGTGCAGCCTGGGAACCTGACCCAAGTACCTGAGACAGAATTTCAAGGTCAATGTTCTCAAGAATTTTCTCCTTCCATTCTTTTGGAGCCAGGTCATGCAATGAATCCCTCACTTCCTTCACTAGGTTGATCAGTTGACTATAATCAGGTCTTTCTCCTCTCATGGAGTTGGTGACCATATCCCAAAAAGCTTTCTCCATGGTTTTTCTCACTTTCTTCTGGAACTCCTCAGCAGTACTAGCACTATCAGACCTGCCAGCGAAAGCACTGGCATCCTCATGAAGCATCTCATTGACCATTTGTTCATTCTCTGTCGGCTGCTTTGTTGGTGATGAACTGACTGATGCTTGGGGAAAAGAACTGAATTTGACATATAAAAAAAGAACCATGCGCATTGAGATTGAAAAAACCACTGTCTTGTTCCAGCAGTATAAAGTCGTTACTATGAAAAAATATTTGATAAACACATTTATCATCAAAGATAATAAAGAGGAGTTTACTAAACACCATTAGTTAATCTTTCACATTCGTACATAACTACTCAGCTTTGGGAAAAGAACTGAATTTGACATATAAAAAAAGAACCATGCGCATTGAGATTGAAACAACTACTGTCTTGTCGCAGCAGTATACCTGATTGTGAACGGCTGCCAATTCCTGTTGTAACTGAACCACTTGTACCAAATCGCTAAATTCTAAAAAGGACGTACCCACTTAAATAATTTCGTTGTAGATACCTAATCTGTGATGTGTAAGAATCCTAAATGGAGTAGTTGGATGGTTTTGCTAAACATACTGAAATGCCATGCTCTAATATCTGAAAAGTGCCATTCTATAAATTTTTTAATTAGGGCAGGCGACAAAGACAAGACATTCCAGTTTTATGAAATGAAGTACGCCACTGCAGATCTTCGAACTTCTACCAGTAATATGAATTTTAAATTACCATATATGTACATGTATAGTTAGTACACATGGGATACAACTATTTCAGTAAATATTAGCACTTATCCATGCATTCTGATTATTATCTCGATCGATGCAATCCTGCATGATAGAAAGACAACAGAATGTTCATGTTTAAGCTCATGGATTGCTGATCAAATACTATCAGAAACGCTGATTATTCAGTGGCTCAATGCACACCTACCTTGGAGGAATTTCCTCAAGTAGCAACTGGGAATCGTCCATGGACACCACTCTGGCCGCTGAGGAGTTGGACCCCACTCTGACCGCAGAGGAGCTGGCCGGTGCTCGCGGCGTAGGAGCTCGCATATGGGCACAACGGAGATGCAAAGCACTAAAACCACTTACATTGCACGCCGTGACGCGGACTCTTACATGAGCAAGGCAACATCTGTGCAAAAAAGTGAAATTCTAAAAAAGGATGCACGTACCAGAGCAAGATATCTAGAAAGCTCCCCTCCTCTAAACTCCCACTTCCCTTTCTAATTGGTGCTAAACAAGCCAAGAGAAAGGAACATAGAGAGGTCCTCACCGAGCATCGACTTTGAAATATCATAGACAATCCAGTGGTGGCCATGCTCCATCAATGTCTCACCACTAAGCCCAGAACCACATCCTAGAAATTACAGCACACAAAGTCATCGTAGGAAAGTCATCGTAGGTAAGCATATCTTGAAACATAGATGTCTTTCAATTGCCATAACCGATTGCAATAAAGAGCTCCCACAAAGATGTATTTTTGCCCCGTCAAAGGAGAATACTTTCATTTGTTCTAGTCAATGCGATATGCCATGATTCATGAAGCGAGCTGCGAAGAGAGTAAGCTGACCTATGTCAAGAAGCAGCTTGGGGGCGCCATCGTTGGGAAGAGCGAGCAGCTCCAGCGCCATCTCGGAAATCCTAGATCGAAGAAGGCATGTCACTTAGCGCCAGCCAAGAAAAATCGACAAAGCTCAAATCAAGCAGGGGAGGCACTTCGCTTGCTCACCGGATTTCGATGATACGGGGAGGAGGTGGTGTGCTTGGGGACCTCCGACTGCGTTGTAGAACACATCCGGCGCCGCCTAGAACTCCGGCGAGGCATCCTCACTCCCCTCCGAGTGTGTGGCGGCTTACCAGATTAAGCGGGATCGCAGCTCTCGAGCCCCACGCCTGCAAAGCCGGTGGCTGCAGCCGCCCATGCTCGCCCGCCGCCCATTGGGGGTGGCCGCAGCAGCCACGCCAAGACCGGCGGCCGCGACCAGGTCGCAAAGGCAGGCTGGGCCCCCCCGCCAGCGGATGGCCGGGACCCGACCAAAAGGCCGCCCGCGCCGCGCCACGCTGCTGCCAAAGTCGCCCGATGCATTTGGGCCCCACGGCGCCGGGATGGCCAGAACCCCACGCTCATGAGCCCGCATCCCGCCAGCGTTGGGGCCTGGCCCCGCCCAGCCGGGAGGAGGGAGGTGCGGGGCGGCGTGGTGAGTGGCTGGTCGTCGGCGCGTTGCGCCAGCAGCACCTCGGTGCGCTCTCTCTACTACGACGGGCAACCCTCGAATATTCGCTACTTTACGGGTCGACGCCCGAACCGACCCGCAATCGGACGGACCAGATCACCTGATCGCTTGATCCAACGGCTAGCGGGTTAGCGGGTGACGTGGCACTATCGGATGCCCGGGCCAGCTTGTATGTGGAAGCTCTGATCCGGTTTATCCTGAGTCTGTCACTTTTCAGTCATATACTATTCATAACAAACTAACAAATGACGTAACTTTGAATAGAAAGCTAAGTTGTCCGGCAATTTCGGAGGAAATGATGAACAATGCTTCTTGTGCAATCTGAAGTTAGCAATGGTGTCACCCGCTAGTTCCGCTATTGATAACAATGGTTGCTATACATTTAGTTTTGTTCGGGCTAAATAGAACTCTAGAGAAATCCAGATCCACATTAATAGCAAAAAATTACACTAAAATATGTGATGTTATGTGTTCACAGATGCAAAGGTCTTTGGTTGTGTAGAGTTCAACAAACTTGGTTTGACATTTTTATTTTTATTTGTTTTATTATGTTCTTTACAATTCTTCTTATTATCTCGTTTCCTAGCCGCACCATCTTGGACGCAGCCGCTGCCTAATACAACACTTTGCCCCTGCAAATAAATAGCAACATGGATAATGATAGCAACTTTGTGGGTATTAAGAGGGCACAACGACTATAGGATGCAGCAAGAACCCGAGGAAAGCATATTTGTACTCAATTATGACAGACATACCTGAAATAAATCAGTGTTAAGATGATAAAAAACGAGAAGTCACTAATGGCAGTTCAATATCTCAGCTAGATATGAAACAAACCATGTATGAATAACAAACTACAATACGTAGCAAAAGAAAACATAAAATCCATCTCTCTCACTCTCACAGGCCCTAATTTTGGAGATGAGTAGTGCAATAGCAGAAAGCAAAATGGAATTTGCATCTCCAAAGCGTAGCAGGCAATCTGTGGGGTAGTAATCTGGAAAGATCGATAAGCAGGGGGTGTAACAAAGTATACGGTGAGTGCAGGTAAGTAGCAGATGGTAAACGTAGTGTTTCACATGTGAGAATAATATATATAAGAATTATTGTTGAGAGTTATCTACTTAGTCCCTCAAAAACTCTGTTCCCCCAACCCCTTTTCTTTGAACAGGAGCAACTATTATCATATATCAAATTTAGAAAACTATGAGCCATATATATTAAGTAAATGATATAAAAGGAAAATGAAAAAAAAAACACATAGAATTTCACATGGCTTAAATGGTCCCATATTTTTTATCCATCGAAAATGGCAAACAGCTTACCTCTGAAGGATGACACCTGCAACTTCTGCAATTTCCCATGGCTTAAAAGGTCAACTATTTTCTTTAATTAGCATGGTGTCTCCCTTAATGCAGAGGATTAACCTGCCTTTGTTCAGGGACTCGGCCATGACCTGCAACAAAGGAACTGTGACAGACACATGGTGTACTGCAGACAAAAGACAATATGATATGAAACAACAGATCCTGTTAAGGCAAATATCAATATTCCTGGTAAGCCCAAAATACAAATCAAAGGTGAAAGGAGAGAATGCAGAGCTGTCTAACCTTCATCAGTTATGAAGTTAAACAGCTCTGTTTAACTATGTACACATGGTCGGTAACAACTAACAGCTAGGAAAAAACATGGAGTAAGCCCAAAAGAAAGTTTAATTCTATGTCGGCACTAAATCTTTTTTGGTAGCCATAAAAAAGATATATAATGCTAACACTAATATATGTTGCCTTTAAAACTGACATCAAAACCCTGAATCTTTTGCTAGCCATAAAAAAGATATATAATGGTGACACTAATATGTCTTACCTTTGAAACTGACATCAAAACTAACAGCACGAGCAAAGCAAAGATGTTACACCTTAGTGACTTGACATTTGTGTCTAATAGTTCCATGTAGACATGTCATAAAAAATCATGAGGACACTCTGTAGGACATGATACCTACAGAGAAGGGGTCATCCATATATAAAGACAAACCTGATACTCTGTGATAACATGTCAGCTTAAAAACAACTGATATGTACTAATTAAGTTATTAAGTGGCGACAGATTTGGGGAACTAAAACTTACTCAGCAAGACTACTTGAGGTGTAATGAGTTATGAAGCAAGCAGTTGTATTTACCTATGGTACACATGATGAGTAACAGGTAGGGAAAAACGTGGACTATGCCCAAAAGAATTTTAATTCGATGTTGGCCTTGAATCTTTTTGCTAGGCGTAACAAAGGTATATAATGGTAATACTAACATGTGTCGCCCACGAAACCAACGTGTAAACTTTTTTTCTTACAAGTAATACATCCCTGTCAATGAACTTGCTAAAACCAATCAGCATACACGGCCACCACAATCCACAATGCACTGTGGTGTCTTTGGATATAATCAAGAAAGGGATAAAAATGAGTAAATGGATAAAGTAGCAATTATCAATGTGACAATTTCTAGAGGAGGAAGGGGGAGCCGGCATCATCACTAAGGCACCTAGGCACATTAGTTGGCACACACCCAAAAAAAATAGACAGCACATCCCCATTAGATCCTTGGAAACAAAAATCAAAAGTGAAAACAAAGATTGAATCAGGCAGAGGATAAAGTTACGAATGTAACAAAATTAATTTCACATTATTTCGATTTACAATTATTTTCCTACGATTTTCACAAGTTTCTGCATGGGTTAGTACAAATGTGCAAGTTCTATTAACTTGGTCTGTTCGTCTTTTGGCCGTAACAGCGAACACACAGAGAGAATGAAGGAGGAAACCTGCCGTAGATCGACATCAAGAAGCAATGAAAAGGGTGCCTAACCACTCGCCGGTCGTCTCAAGCCACGGAGCGGGACCGGATGGCGGCGCTCCAGGTGCGACTCGGCGAGCTTTCCGCCGCCGCCGCCGCCGATGCGTTCTCGGTTGGGGAGCACGGGTTGCTGCTTGCGGACCTCAGCCCCGCAAGGCCGCATGGGAGGAGCGCGTGGCGCTGCTGTAGGGCCTCGCTGCGACGTACTCTGGCATCTGACGCCCTTCTCGCGTGCGTTGGGGTTGCGGGAGGCGCGCGGACGCCGAGCATAGGCGAGGGCGCCGGGAGATGTGAGTCTGGAGCAGCGGCGGAGAGGAAACGAGGCGAGAAGTCAGCGTTGGGAAACGCGAAGCGTCGCGTCGCGGGCGCTGCGCCTGGCACCCGCCGCCGCATCAGGAGGGAAGGGGAGAGAGAGAGAGAGAGGAAGGGGAGGGCGAGATGGAGGTGAGAGGCAGGCGAGGGAGAGCAGCGGTGGAGGAGGAGGAGGCGCAGGAGGAGGAGGGCGGCCGACGCCGCCGCACCCCGGTCGCGCCCGTCGCCGTGGTCGCGTCGGGATAGAGAGGGTCCGGCGATATATAGGTCTAGCTTTGGTAAAATTCGAGGGCTTTTTTGAAAAAAACCTGAGAGAGGCCTGGACTGCGGGTTGATTCAACTAAAATTCAAAGGTGTTTTTGCAAAAAGACCGGGACTCGCACGATCTGGACCATCCGCGCGCCCGATCCGATGGCCGAAAAAAGCGGGCGACGTGGCCACGCTGCCTGGCTCTCTTTTGGTAGCAGGATTCCTATAAGAAGATATTGTATTTTTTCTTTGAAGAAAAGAGAGTTTCATTGATTACTCAGAAACATGGTTATCATATTTTCAAGTAGTAATCTGCTCACTGCTATGTTTTGGCTTTTCACAGACATAAATGTATTCTAGAGGACGCCTTCGGAAGATGGTCTCTATCAATGATTCTTAACGGTGTTGGTCCTGCGTACGCCACCAAAAATGGTGTTGCCAGTCCTGTCTCTGAAAATCAAAAAGAAATCTAGCTGGAGCTCGTGTGCCACCAAAAATGGGTTCCGTTCGCTTCGCTGAAAAAACGAGCTAAAATACTGTTCCGGCTGATTTGTTATGAGAGAAAAATATTGTTCTGACTGAAAAACAAGTTGAAAAGTACGGATTATAAGACAAGCGAACATACCGTTTTTACTCCGCCTCCGAAAATAATAATTAAAAACAAACTAGCTGGAGCTTGAGCTCTAGAAAATAAAAAAAAAAAACACCCAGCTCTGCTCTGGGTCTAGCTTCCGCCATCACAACCACCGCTCCTCGTGGACTTCGGTGAATCCGATTTATTTGCCTAATTGGAAGCAACAACTGTTTTTTATTAGAACATGATGTGCTTCTGGTCAGTATATTGCATTTTTCTTTTTGAAGAAAAGACTGTTCCATCTATTACTCAGAAAAATGATTATTATAATTTTATAAGCAGTAATCTGCTCACTACTACCTTCACAAACAGACATAAATGCTTTCTAGAGGACGCCTTTATTATCAATTCTTAATAGAGACGGTCCTGCATACACCACAAAAAATGGTGTTGCTAGCTAGTCTCGTCTCATCATCATCATTATCATCATTATCTAGCTGACGTGACCAAAAATGATGTTTCCACTCTTGCCTCTAAAGATTAAAAAAATCTATAGCCTGTTCGTTTGGCTTGTGCTTGTCATATACGATCGTAAATTTTCAGCCGGAACAGTATTTTTCTCTCACACAAACCAGCCAGCAGTACTTCTTCACGAACCAGCAATGATACGAACCAGCCAACCGAACAGACTGCTAGTTGGAGATCGTACGCCACCAAAAATGGTGTTTCCCCTCCCGCCTCTTAAAATCTAAAAAAAAATCGGAGCTTCTGCGGTTCCTGCTTCTAGCCCTGTTTGGTTCACCTTATGGCCTTGTTTGTTTCCGGCGCTTAAACGCGAGACACCAGAGAAAACCCCGCCAAACGTCATGTGATTTTCATGCGTTGGTCGGTCGCGTGTAACCGAAGAAGTGGGAAAATGAACTGCGGAGGCTTAAATCGCAAATTACCGGATTCAAGCCGCGTTCGGTTTATCGCGGTCACGATTTTGCCGGTCATCGTTCCAAACAGGATGTCCACCGCGCGGTGCGGTACGCCATTTGCGATGGGAGAGCTGCGGTACCAAAAATCATGATCGCAGTTCAAGCCCCGCAGTACGTTGCCTGAGGTGGTGAAAAAATCACATGTATTTAGCGCGATTACCGCGTGCTCGCACAAGGAATCCGCTTTTAAGGGCAGTCCCAATGGTAGAAACTATGCACGGTTTCCATAGTAGCCACATGAGCAAGAAACTATACGTAGAAACTACCCCTACCCCCACACAGTGGAGGGGTCTTCCTATAATAAATGTTGTTTTTCCCCTCTTTCTCTCTCCTAGCACCATCTTCTTCCCCCGACCGGACTCCCCGAGCAAGAAGAAGCACAGCAGGTGAGAGGAGGAGGGGGCAGTGGAGGTTGCCGGGGCGAGCAACATGAGCGGGCGTGGCAGTGTGCGCGAGCGGGTCCGGCGGGCTTGGCCGAGTGGGGCGGGCTTGGCCGGCGAGGGAGGTCGCGCAGTGGCTGGCAAGAGAGCTCGTGCGGCGGCTGACGAGCGGGCGGGCGGACGAGGACACGCTGCGGCCGGTGAGCCAGCACGCGAGGTTTCCAGCGGGCAGCCGTGCGCGGCAACACAGGCAAGCTCGCAGCTGCGCGGGCGAGCGTGCATCGCGGTCCCCACCTGTAGAAACCGATGGTTTCCTCCCAACGTAGAAATTGCAGATTCTTCCTCCCTCAGTTCAAGAGCCGATGTCGTTTCTCTAAGAGGAAACGGTTTCCTCAATTTTTTCTCTCTTTCCTCATTAATTAGGTTGTCATGTCAACGTTTTGCTTAAGTGACATCTTAATTAATAGAGATAGAGACCATCATTAATTCTACATTGGGACCGCCCTTAAAGCGGTTCCAAACAGGCCTCCTGCTATCACCACCACCGCTCCTCCTGGACTACATATCCTATTTTTTAAAACAAATAGGGAGTTAGGACCGGCAATTAATTATTTTGAATAGGGAGGAGATTGCAGGTGAATTCCCCAAAATAGAAGGGTCCTTTTGCAAAAGAGGCGCTGTTGCCGGCGCCTTGGCAGCCACGTGTCAATTGTCAAGTGGTCCGTGGTCATGGCAGCTAGTTTTTTTTTTGAGGGGAACATGGCAGCTAGTCAAGGTGAGCGGCCCACGCATCACAGAGAGCAAGCGGGGTGATGGTGTGGGGCTGTTTTTCGCATGGGCCGAGGCGACAGTATGCGCTGTTGGGCTGACTGTGTTGCGAGTAGAATTTATTCTAATCCAATCCGTTTTGATGCACAACAGGTCGATATTTTCTTAGTGGCAATTCTCAATATTTTCTTCTGTCTATAACCATTTTACTACTGCACTGTTAATTTCTTTGATTGTACAAATCAAACCAGGTGTGTGGGAATGTACACATTTAGAGTAGCAATTTAAAATATGATTATGACTACTACTACTACGGCTAACACCATTTAGAGTAGCAATTTAGAGTAGCATCTTATCTAACAAAAAACCCCAAGCAGACTAGAACAAGAGGCATATTATGTAGCGCTGGAAGGTAGCATCTTCTTACGCTTTTCAAAATCACCTCTTGTTGGGATCGTTGTTTATCTGTGACCCTGCTTGTGTGTGTAGATATGTCTCAGTGCCCACTACATTTTTGTTGAGAAACATTGATGTCCATCATCTGGGAGTAGGGGATCTGATGCAGGTCGCTTCCGATCCAGTGATTTCTCTGTTCATGCGCTAATCTCGTTTGGCTTTGGAGCTCGACATTTCTGTGCTACTGATTATAGGCAAGAAAGGTCAACATAACACTAATCTAATGCTCCCTCATGCTTTGTTGCATACACCGAATACTTTATTTGGGTCTAACTGTTATCTTTGCTCGCTGTTTTTTCACTATCTTTGACATAGCACTAATCTAATGCCCCCTAATGCTTTGTTGCATGCACTGAATACTTTATTTGGGTCTAACTGTTATCGTTGCTCGCTGTTTTTGCACTATCACTCATGCAGTCTGAGGATACCAGGAGCTAGTAGGATTGTTGTAAGGCTCATGTCCGTGCCGTCGTCATCAGCCCGTTCGGCTGGTTGGGCGCGTTCGGCTGGGCTGGCCAGCGCTCCCAGAAAACACTGTTCATATGAACAGTGTTTTCAGCCGGAACAATATTTTTTCCTCACAACAATCAGCCGGAACAGTATTTTGGCTTATTTTTCAGTCCTGCCGAACAAGCTACAGGTTCAGGGGAGGCGATCAGGAGCATTTTCATTTTATTGCTTATAAGGTATAGTTTGTCACTTGTCTCGAAGATGTTATGCTGCGCTTGTCCTGAACTTGTATTGTGCTATCATGAAGTATGCCTAGCAGCCCCAAACTCCAAACCATTAGGATCCATGGATCAGACACCAAAAACAATACTTATAGTTGGGGAAATGAAAGTTTATAGTTGGGACAATAAAAATGTTTGGATTCAAATTAATTTGGTTGTAAGGATTTGTGATGAAATGAAGTTTTATAGATGGCCCAAATAACACAATAATTGTGGTCCCGAAAATAAATGCTTGTGGTTTAGGATAGATTTGTTCATAAAGATTGGTAAATCTAACATAGAAAACAGAAATTGTGGTTTGGAATGAAATGTTATGGTTACGGATAATTTTGATCTTAAGGATTTGTGGATCTGATGTTGTAAGCAAATATTTGTGGTTAGAATAATGGCTACAAATAATTTTTGCCTAATGATTTGTGTTAGAACAGTATTTGTGGTTTGAAAAATGTCCTTTTATACAACAACAACAACAACAAAGCCTTTAAGTCCCAAACAAGTTGGGGTAGACTAGAGTTGAAATCCAGCAGAAACAATCAAGGTTCAGGCACTTGAGTAGCTGTTTTCCAAGCACTCCTATCTAAGGCTAAGTCTTTGGGCATATTCCATCCTTTCAAGTCTTCTTTTATTGCCTATACCAAGTCAACTTCGGTCTTCCTCTGCCTCTCTTCACGTTACTATCCTGGCTTAGGATTCCACTACGCACCGGTGCCTCTAGAGGTCTCCGTTGGACATGTCTAAACCATCTCAACTGGTGTTGGAAAAGTTTTTCTTCAATTGGTGCTACCCCTAATCTATCACCTATATCATCGTTCCGAACTCGATCCCTTCTTGTATGACCGCAAATCCAACGCAAAATACGCATTTCCGCGACACTTATCTGTTGAACATGTATCTTTTCGTAGGCCAACATTCCATACAACATAGCAAGTCTAATCGCCGTCCTATAAAACTTGCCTTTTAGCTTCTGTGGTATCCTTTTATCACATAGAATACCAGATGCTTGCCGCCACTTTATCCACCCTGCTTTGATTCTATGGCTAACATCTTCATCAATATCCCCGTGTCTCTGTAGCATTGATCATAAATATCAAAAGGTATCCTTCCTAGGCACTACTTAATCTTCCAAACTAATATCTTCCTCCTCCCGAGTAGCAGTGCCGAAGTCACATCTTATATACTCAGTTTTAGTTCTACTGAGTCTAAAACCTTTGGACTCCAAAGTCTCCCGCCATAACTTTAGTTTCTGATACACTCCTGTTCGGCTTTCATCAACTAGCACTACATCGTCCGCGAAAAGCATACACCAAGGGATGTCCCCTTGTATGTCCTTTATGACCTTATCCACCACTAAGGCAAATAGATAAGGGCTCAAAGCTATTCCTTGATGTAGTCCTATCCTAATCGAGAAGTCATCCGTGTCTCCATCACTTGTTCGAACACTAGTCACAACATTGTTGTACATGTCATTAATGAGCCCGACGTACTTCGTTAGGACTTTATGTTTGTCTAAAGCCCACCACATAACATTCCTTGGTATTTTATCATAAGCCTTCTCCAAGTCAATAAAAACCATGTGTAGGTCCT